TCTATAGTACAGAGTCTTGACTAGTGCTCGTGTATAGCTATTTGGACAAAAACTATTAAAATGTAAGTATTGTTCATTCCATGTAGGCTTTCGGTAAATTGGCCTCTGGAGATTACCATCTTCTAGGCTTTGCATGGCGATGTCAAGGAAATGGAACTTCCCATCATTTTCATGTTCCATGGTAAATACAATATTTGTATGTGCTTTGTTGAATAGGCTGAGTAGGTAGGAGGCATACTACAAATGTGTCATCACTGTTGTTCTTGCTTTATTCAAATTTAATACGTGTTTTCTGTATACTTGATTATGACCATCTGGATAGAAATAAAAGTCTTTAAGGTGTGGCTTGTATGAATTTGTGTTAAGTAGATGAGTTGCCATTCTTCGTCATTCCTTGTATTCACAGTGAAACTTCGAACTTTAAACTTTGAAGCTTGATTAGCGTTGGTGTTATTAGCCTCATAACCAACTTCACCTGTTTTTCAGGATTACTAGCAACTAGGTAATCTAGGTCTAGGTGGGCATCAACCAGGAATTGAACCCTGACATCTCGTGCATGTCTGGTGAGCGTTGTACTACTGAACCACTAGCATACAGTTGAATTAATCAGCTCACTATCAATTAATCAACGTTTAGAAACAAATGAAATAAATTGGGAGTAATTTCACATCAGTCCCTTGAATATGTATGTGATGATATGAAAATACAACAGATTTCTGATGTTCTTTACAAATTCCCATTGTAATAAAAACAATGAGTTCAATGTTTTGTGCATTGTAAATAAGATTAAGGAAAAGTGTTTCAATAATACTTCCTAAAAATGATTAAGGACAAAATAAAGTATGCAACATGTGTGTGTGTGAGTGTAAGTGTTTCTGTTTCTGTTTTGTTGAAGTTGATTCCTTGAGTATATTGTTGCAAATAAGCCAAATGTGAACGATAAATAGAATAAAATGTATGAAACATTTCCAGTCATAGCACAAGGCGCCGTGAAGAGTCTCACATATGTTGATCCCCACCTCTTTCCCCTGGTTAAATGTTCATATAAAGAACGACCAACATATTTGTAGGATAATGTGAGTTCGTTTTCTTTTGTGGATTTTCTCTGTCTCTTCAACTGCATACATCTTTTTACAATGATTTCAAGTTATAAATAGAAAGTATAAGTAACGTAATTTCAATGATGATGTCAGTAGACAATTATTTAGTGTTAAAAGTGTAAGTGTTTATATAGTAGTTAGACAAGGGGGTGGAAATCAGATTTCTCTCGGAAACAAGGATGGACTAGAGACAGAAAACAAGATGGGAGAACAGAGCAGTTAATTTATGCATATCATAGTGGATCGTTTAGGTGTGTGTTGGTGAATAGTGAAGTAAAATTATAAAGGAGATAAAATAATTTAATTTAGTAGATTTAGAAACGATCAACGAATCCTGTGACAGTATATATCACTGTATGTGCATCGGTGGTTCAGTGAGAGAATACTGTTTTAGCACTCATGTGGTCTGGGATTCTATATCCGGCCAGCGCACTCCTATACCTTGCTCAGTCGGTAGTAATCTTCGTAAACAGGTGAGATTGGGCGTAAGTTAAGCAACTGCACCTCTAGTAAAAAATAAACACCACTGCTACTGAAATTCCAAAGTTCAAACTTGAAGGCATATGTTCCACCCAGAAGTCAAGTCAGTAAAATAAATAAGGGTCCAGGGGGGCATCAGAACAATGTATTTCGTCGATATGGACATAAATAAAGCTGTCCATAAAAAGCCATAAGAGGATTCCGAATCCATTCTGTGATTTTTGGCAGCTAATATTTTTGGATGAATGTTGTGTTGTTGTATTGTTGTTATTCATTCTCATTGACTTCTGCGCTACCCTCGAAGGCCTGATATACTCAGATATTTTCACGAAAATCTATCGTAGATGAGCAGAAGTAAAAATTCACGGAGCATTGGATTAGCGTTCCAGTGATTCAGTGGTTAACTGACTCCCCTTGTAACCTGAAGGTCCTGGGTGCGTTCGGTTGAAGAGTTTCGAACTAGGTCGAACCAACTGCCCATTACTCACTGGTTTTCAGTAGTTCGCTAATTGATATTGTGTTGAGTGCTACTTATAATCCTATATAAGTAGTATATCAGAAAGCGAATTCAGAAAAGTAACAATATGTTTCACACACTGGAAAGAGCAATCAAAGAAGAAAACTATGAGAAGAATGTTGCCATATGATGCAGAATCCAAGAAGCTATCGAATGTGACGATATTCGAGCAATTCGTCAAGGATGTGGTAAATGATGTGCGAATGGCAGTTTGACAATATGGTATACCAAATTTACCTATGTACAATGCGTTTCACCAAATAATCATTCTTTCCAGCCTCCTCGGTCTTTTCTTCGTTAGAATATCACTCAATGATCTGACTTACAATCAATCGAATTCTTGCATACCAACACGTAGCAACATTTCATGTTATCGATAATTAATACATATTTCAATCCTGGTAACCAATGGATCATTTGTTTGTTCGAACTGGCCTCCATATTGGAGGGAGAGAAAAGGCGGCTATCATTGCTTAATCATGTACTGGTTGGCAGAAGATTAGGGAAATACGATCAAAAGTGTTGTTGTCGAACATATTAACGTCTATTTACGGACTTTGGCTCTGACTAACTGTCAAAATAAAAATAATGGGGAAACTAATAATAATAACATCAATAAGAAAGAATATAAGGGATCTGCATTTAGATCATATAAGGATGGGACATCTGAAACTCTCCCTACGTAGGATTCTCAATAAAGCAGGAATCAGCTTGAAATTTAAACCTACAAACTCACTCAGGTAAGGGACAAGCTCTGTAAGTTCAAGAACCCTGTTGATGGATCCAATTAGACAAAATAATATAATTTACAAAATACCCTGCAATGAATGTGAGTGTGGTCAACTACAAAGGTCAAACTAGTAGATCAGGAGCAGTGAGATTATCAGAACATAAGAATTTGGCTATGGTTAGAATGTTTAATCCCACCCGTGAAGATAAGTAATTTAGAAAAAAATTCAGCAGCAGTTGTACTGCATGCATTAACACACAACTACACGATAGGATGTAGAGGGTGAAAACCAGAAAACTCAATCAGGCAAGGGCAAGCTCTGTAAGTTAAAGGACCCTGTTAGACAAAGTAATATAATTTTCTAAAGTTTGGTTTGTAAGGGTTACTTATGTTTTCTTGGAGTTCTAGTGGGAAGTCGTGACCAGTGAGGTCCAATTAGATGTCACGTGTGTGGATGGATTTCCCACCAACGACAATGGTTGGGCTCGCGCTAAATCACGAATTGGTAGAAGTTAGAATTCATGGGCTGGCCATTGAATCGCGTCCCAGTGGCTGAAAGGTATACGAGCTTGCTGTCCTTGCAACCGGAGGGTCCTGGGTTCGAATCCCAGTGGGTGTGTACTACCGATGATTCCCAAACTAGGATGAAACAGCAGCTGTCCAGTACTCCCTGGTTTTCAATGGTTCTCTAACTGATATCAATCCGTGATCAACTCGTAAAAAAGGTAATATAATTTACAAAATACCTTGCAGTGAGTGTGATTGAGATCAACTACATAGGTTAAACTAGTGAGATTATCAGAACATAAGAATTTAGCTAAGGTTGGATTGAATGTTCCCACTCGCGAAGATAAGTAATTCAGAAAAAAACTCAGCAATTACACTGCATGCATTAACACACAACCACACATTGTTGTGGGTGGGACAGAGTCAAAATTCTAAGAAGTAATGTAGGTAGGTGGAAAGAGAAAGGTGGTTCATTACTTAATCCTGGTTCATCGAGTCTACACCCAACACTTGCAATAGGAGTGACTCATCACTCATACCAGAATTATAGAAAATACTACTACCAATCAAATCAAGCGATAAAAAATAATGGGATTATATAAACGAAGTTAGAAAGTAGTGTGAGTAGTGCCTTGATATGATTATGAGTGGCAGTAATAAATTGTGCTCGAAACGTGGTCATCAGTAAATATTACTGCATAACAAACAGTGTGTGACCTTATCAAAATAACTTTTAGCCACAATGGAATTACACTCTAGCACAGTGCACAAGTTGTATTCTTAAATGTGATTAACCGTGTTGTAAATCTGTTTTGGTTATCGCTTGAAGAATAAACAGATGTGTCGCTCAACCGTTTTCTGTTGTCTATGCTTCGGTTGCACAGTTCATAGTATTCTGTGTAGATGTTTACGATCTCTTTCTCATGTTAGGTGGTATAATAAGGTAAGTAATGTTGACTTTAGGCGCAGAGTGTTGGGCAAACAGGGAAAATCAATCGACGAGACTATAAAGTTACATAGATTGAGATGGCTAGGTCACGTGATGCGCATGCATAACCATCGCCTCCCCCGACGGACGGGCATTACTAGCTGATATAGGTGCAGGTTGGAAAACAGTAAGTGGTGGCCAAACAAAAACATGGCCTCATCAATCCATGAAATCCTTGACAGTTAAACTGAGTCAGGTAGGGAGGGAGATGCAGACTTCCGGGTTGGGGCCTCCCTCGGGACTCTAAGAATCAATGGCTGGAGACACTAGGTGACATGGCTCAAAATCATTGTCAAAGGCTTACGCAGATGTATTCAGTCTCTGTAATCTTTCATATTCCTTTCTACCATTACTCGTTCTGTTTCACTCTTATACTTGTCAAAACTCTATTGATTCTCTTCACCCATTTTCTTGTCTACCTTTGTATGCTATTTGGAATGTGGCAACTGGAACTGCTGCACTTCGGTTCCTAGTTCTATGTTGAATCCAGACAGATAGACAGAGTATTCTGTGTATTAGGCTTGATCTTCTGAAACCAGCGAATAGGTTCATCTGGCTATTTGATATTGTATGTACATATTTTTAAAAAGTCATTTGTTGCTCTAGATTAAAAGATAAAAAAGAAATTGAAATATTCTTTTATTATCATCTATTTTTTTGTTTTTGTTTTCATTTTAGATCTTGAACAAACCTTGAAACACAGTCTGCCTGGTTGTTTAATATTAATCGATATGTTTTTAACAAGTATTCCATTCTATCTATGTCATGCATTCTATCCTGTTATTGTTCATCTACTCTATTTGGCGATAGCAACATTAGGATTATACTTAGCTTATACATTTGGTAATTTAGATAAGACAATTGACTCGCCATCAAATCCAACTGTATTAATCGGTGGACATGCATTATTGTCGAATGGTTATCAAGATTTTACAAATATTCCACGTATATTTATTGTATTATTCGGTGCTATCTCAATTGGTATCATGATACATTGTGTTTTGTTAACATTGTGTATAACACGGGATTTCTTAGCAAGTCTATGTCAACAGAATACTAATGTATGGTTAGGCGAAGAAGAGGATGATCCCTATTTAATTGATAATAGTACAATGGATTTAATGAGTAGACAGTCGTCAACATCACTTGTTGCGAATAATAATAATAACAATAATAATAATAATAATCACAGTGATAATGAAAAACGCAAATGACTAGTTCACGTATGATGATGATGCTAGTGATGATGGTGATGCTGATGAACAGTTGTCAACGACGTATTCCAGTAGTAGTTTGATGTATAACTATTGTAAAAACTGTCAATTCATCTATCAATGTGCTTTCAACTGCTTTTATTCATCCCTTTTTAATCTTTCTTGTCGACGATATTGATGCTGATGATGGTGATGATATTGATATGTGATCCTTATGAACTTCTTCATGAATTAAATTGCATTCCATGAATACATACATATACGTGTGTGTATTTTATCTCATTAAAACAAATAGAGATGTGTGTCTGTGAATTATATAATTTTTAACTTCTTTCCAAAGTTGTATTTGTCATTTATTATAACTTTTAGCTTGTCATTTTATTTCATGTTTTACATTTTTTTTTGGTCGGTTTTTTTCAGTTTTATTTCGTCTTTTTTAAAATTTATCATTGAACTTTGAACTATTCATTATTCGCGGAATTTCTCTAAATTCATACAAACAATAAATACAGCTGAAATTGGGATTTTTTTAATTTTTTATCGTATATACATATATATATATATATGTATATGTAAGATCTCTTTATATACTACTGTTAAAAAGTGTCGTCCTTCTTATATTTCACTTTGAAATCATGATTTTACTGTACAGTTTTTTTCAAGATCAAACTATGTCTGATATGTGATATAATAAAGAAAAGAAGAAAAAAAGAAGAAAATGTGATATTGATGACTGCTCATTTTTGGAAATTTCTATTCATTTTTCAGTGTATTTGGATTGTGGACACTACACAGGCGGGCAGGCCCGCGGGTAGTGACCAGTGTTGTGTATTTTATCTACAGTGTGTTTGGTGCAGACTTAATTCTGTCAATCAAGTTTAGCATGTGATCACCATTCTCAGGTTGTTCGCCATCATGCGGTGCACTCTGATGTTTTGTTGGATGATTGGACGAAGTCGTCAGGAAGTCTTGATACGTGGGTTTCTGGCTTGTTGGCACTTGTTAGCAGGGTTTACCTTCAATTTTGAAGGAATTCATGTCCCTCCTGAGAATCGAACCTGGGTCTTTCAGTGCTACAGTCAAAAACGTTCCCACTGTGGCACATATATATATATATATATATATATATATATATATATATATATATATAGGTCTTCTGACATGTGTTGTATTGTAACGACAGAAGACAAAGGCAAGGAAACAGATCGTTTATTGAGAAAATCAAGAGATATTTATAGATTTTTAAGTGGAGAAGCAACGTCTTCTGATTGGTTGTTTTCTTGCTGAGGGTTATTCTTTAGTGCTTCTAACCGTTTCTCAGAAAGTTAAGCCATATATCTGCGAATCGTATTTGCACACGTTAATTCTGATGTCATTAGTTGGTGAGCTCCTCAAGGTTAAGCTTTGTTATTGTTTTCCCCATAACCCCGATTCGGGACGTAAATTGCTGTCTAGAATTCCGGCTTGTTCTCAGCCAGCTCTCACCACAGTATAAGTGTATTACAGACGAAAATCTGTGATCATTACTTGTGATTGTGAATAATACAATATTGTACAGCTAAGAAAATGAATTCGCTGAAAAGAGACTCTTTGCTGAACTACGTGTTTTGTTTTCATTAACACAATATTAATCATAGTTAAGAGATAGTCCTGTTCACTAAGTCGATTATTCATAATGAATGTGGTGTAATATATTGGTGCAGTTGTGTTTTCTAAGCTAGATGGTTTAATTACGAAGCTCTCATTGTCTTTCTAGGAAGCATATTCAGCACTAACAACAAGTTGAAGGAAGCATCTAGAATTCTCCATGTGTTTGCTGTTGACTGTATCTCCTGGTAACATTGAAGATGGTTGGTTGTTTCTTGAGATTTTCTGGAATTCTTGTTCACTTGTATTGGTATCAACTATTTTAGAAACTGTAGTGTGCAAAAAATCAACACATACACCTCATGTACTCAGTTAAAACAGCATACAAAAGGAGTTGTATACAAACATTATTCAAAGCTTGTATGTGTTTATCAAACAACTAGTTGTTTGAGGCATTTAAAAGTGGACAAATACCCACCTCATGTTACCTCCAACTGTGTTAAACAATTTACATGTACCCACCGAAGCACATATATTGAAAGAACAGAGAGAAGGGTTATTGTCCGCATTTCTGAACACATATCAAAGAACCTGAGACTGAAGGGTCCACAAGCATTAAACAGTGCGATTTCGCGTCATCTATTAGACACTGGTCATATTGTAGACAACCTGAAGTCGTTCAAGATAATCAACAAGCAAAAGAAATCTAGCTTGCTACACTTTGCTGAAGCATTTGCTATCAGACGACTTAAACCAAATCTATGTATGCAGAAAGAGATAGTGGTGAGTGTTGCACTGCCCTGGTGATAACAAAATATACAACTTGTATGAGTCACCCTTTTTCTTGTTTAGAAAACTCTACTCTCTCATCTAAACATGACTCACCCTACCTTGTTCTTTTCTCTTCTTTTTTTTCTATTAGCTATTAGATAAAACATTTTCTTTAGTTACGTAGTCTACTTTTTGTTATGCTCTTTCTAGCTAAACCTTGTTTGTATACACACATATACATACGCAACTCTGTTTTTGTTTCCAAGCCTAATTGTCTAATTATTCTGTAAATAGTGTTTGTAACTCTTAATTACTTAAATCATTCCGGACTAATGTTACTTTTACTTCCTACCAATTATTACTTGTGATCGTGGAGAAGTATGTTCAAATCTTTAATGTAATTCATATTTTTTATCGTTCAGGTTGTAACTAGTTGATAAGAATCCTGGAAATAATAAAAGATGAGTTCATATTATCCTGGTACAATTGTTGTTCTTGTTTTATTCAAGTTTATTAATGGGAGGAATTGCATGAAGTTATTCAAAAGAGTTAGGACACATTGCAGCACTCCTGCCTTCAGGAGATTTATCTTGCACACCTTCCAGAAATGCTGATATCCATCAAATTTCATCAAAAGATGCCTACCGTCAACCCAACCGACTGACCAATCCAAAATCACTTACTGAAAGCACAAAGAAATTGTCCTAATATATAAGGAGAACATCTCTGAAGTCACTGCAAGACTACTGAAACTTTTTGTAATAGATGTCACTCACAAACCAAAAAAAATCACTTTAATCTAAACTATGTTAACCGAAAGACTCAACGGCAAAAGATTACAAAACTAACATTATCTACAAGAAAAGTTGCAACATCTTTGAAAAAAACAACAACATTATGTTGATCAAAGTGGACGTCCTCTTCGTCTTCGTATACATCAACATAAACTGGTTGACAAAATATATGATACCATTCCCCAATATCAATGTATGGAGACAACTGCGGATATCAAATGGACTGGGAAAATGTAATAACCTTAGACAAATGAGGTACCAAAACTGCCGGGGAATTCTTAGAAGCGCTGCAGTTAGATAATATTAGATAAATTTACAATCCACAGATACATTTAAACAGATCAAACAGTAAAAGGGAAGTCACATGAAGGAAAGGTTGACTATCAAGTCAACAAAATAATCAGTTCCAATAAACATCGACAGGAGGGTGTGAAAATCTCCGGGAGCAGCCGGTCACGACCAAGATCATCAAGGGAGACAGTGAATAATAACACATGGAGAATTCTTAAGGCTCACTCCATCTCGTGATTAGCGCCAAAGATGTCTAGAAAGACAATGAAAGTTTCGCAATTAGACCATCAAGCCTAGGGAACTCAACTACAACACCGATATCACCCACCTGAGTCATAAATCTTCATCATTTTTAAAGTTTAATATATCAGCGTAAATTTCCTCAACTGAATTGATTAGATACATACATATAGTTAGTTTACTGCAATTCATTAATTATAAAAGCAAAGCAAGGCAGTGAAACTGTGTAATTTAAGGTAATAGATAGTCTGTTAACCGAAACCAAAACAAAAACATAAAGAAAATTTAAAAAAATAACATTTAAGAATTAAGATGGAAATAAGGCAATAATGCATATGAAGCAGTCCAATTTATGTTGAGCCATACCACTTCCAGTGTTTATTTATGTAGACTTCAGCCAGTGGCACATCCACTCTGAATAGAATACTTGCAGTTTTTCCACCTGATCTGTATTCATGTTGTTAATTTGCATATAATTCATTTTCCTTGACAACCTTGACCTCAAATGAGAAAATACATTTTCATCATATCGATAATCGATACAGTGGAATACTCTAGTTTGTGTGAAGTAATAAGAATAGTACAACAGTGAGATAATAAGCATTTACAACCCATCTGAGTTGTAGATGAATTTTATTCTGTTGAATGTTATCAGTTGGCCTAACAATCTTTGAAACAGTACTTTGAAACTTGACTTGTTATTTGAGTATATGATATGTACTTCTGTTTTTGATGTGGTTGTGTTCTCTGAGCTGGATAGTTAATTTACGAAGCTTTCATCACCCTACTAGGTAACTAGGTGAAGATGTTGCCTTGTGGTGGGGAAATGAAAGCTTCGCAAATTAACTATCCAGCTAAGAAAACACAACCACATCAAAATCATCCACCTGAGCTACAAATCTTCTCCATCATATGTACGACTATAAACTATTGTATTTGACTTAGGAAAGGAATCAAGTATTCCAACCTTGTTTCGTTATTATTGACAATCATTAACATTGTGTATTTGCAATCTTAATTAAAGTTATATTCTCTTGAAGCATCAGATTTGTACTATTGAATGTCGAAGTTAAATACTTCGTCTCTAAGGCTTGAAGTTTCGGTAACAGTGATGTTTGTTTTTACGAGATGCGGTTGCTGGCCTCATGCTCAGCCTTCCCTCTTTACCAGTCTTACTACTGGCTTAGCGAGGTAAAGGAATGCGTCGGTCGGGGATCGAACCCCAGACCATGTGCATGGTTGGCGAGCGTCCTAACCTCTGTGTCACCGACGCCGAGTGTAGTTTTAACTTTACGAAATTTGTAAATGTAGGTATGACGTCAATTTTCATAACACTACTCATAATTTATTAAACTAACTTCATAGTCAAGTCTTATGGCTTCATTTCAAATCCACTTCTAAAATATAGGCAGTTGATGATTAAACTATGTATTATAATTTTTCTCTTGGGTACCCAATGGAAGGCTTCAAAAACCCCATTTCCACTTTGTTCTGCTGTCCTCCTCAACTGGGCCCAAGGCTATACTTAATCTCTCATCTCCTCCTTGCCACACGATCTTTTCTATGTTAGATATAATAGAGAAGATTTGTAGCTCAGGTGGATGATTTTGGTGTGGTTGTGTTCTCTGAGCTGGATGGTTTGGTTGCGAAGCTTTCATTGCTCTACTGAGCAACATCTTCAGCGCATACTTCGATGTGAAGTGAGCTTTTAGAATTCTCTATGAGTTTATAAGTCATCTCTTCTAGTAACCAATCACGTTCAAGGTTGCTAGAAGAGATGACTTATAAACTCATAGAGAATTCTAAAAGCTCACTTCACATCGAAGTATGCGCTGAAGATGTTGCTCAGTAGAGCAATGAAAGCTTCGCAACCAAACCATCCAGCTCAGAGAACACAGCCACACCAAAATCTTTTCTATGTTACTTTCGCACCGACGACCTACTCGTCGCTTCGCACTGGGATCCCACTCGACGGTCTGGTGCGTGATATCGTTCGGCAGCCTCCTCAACGTATGCCCAATCCA